TTTGTTAGCTTATAAGCAGACTGTTTGGGTCCTGGTGTACCTGCAGCAGAAGGGCAGGGGGGCCGGGACCTTGTGTGCCCCCTGCTCCTCCTCAGCCCCATAGCAGGGCAGAGGCAAGAAACCTGGAGTACCAGCAAGCCAGTGCATTACATGCCTCAAGCTGTACATCCCCCTAGGAGGAAAATCCTGTTGACTCCCACTTAGGCACCATCTCTTGTCGCCTACTGCCACCAACACCCAAGACTGAGCCATCTGAACAGGCTGCCCAAGAGAGAATATTTGCCTCAGGGCAAGGCACTCCAGGCACACCGTTTCACAGCTCTTTTCCTGCTTCTGGCGGGAGAAGTCAGACTACTGAAAGCAGTCTTCTGCATGCATAAAGTTGTTCTAAGGAAGTTTTAATGGAGGCTAAAGGATCTGCAGTAGGTGACATTCAGATTTCTTCTGAATCTGGTTCAGCAGTACAGGAGAGGAGTGGTTTCTCAAGTGCAGACCCCAGCAGTTTGTCACATAAGCTTGCACAGAACCATGTCAAGGGTGGCAAGAAGATGGGCTGGGGACATCCCTGAAGGTAGCAGCAACACGTTCAAGTTTCATCATTTGCTGCTGCTGCCAGCACAAAAGAGAGTGTGAATCTATGGTGCTGGGAAAAGAGAGAGGGAGATAGGGTTGGAAGAGAAAGAGGAGACGAGTTTGTGCATCTGCTTCTGTGTTTTTCTCTGCTAACAGCCCTGAGCAGCTGCAAGCAGGCAATACCAGAGCACATGGAAGCACAAATTCCCCGTCTGTGCTTGCATACGCCTAGCTCAGTGTGCAGGGAAGGACTCAGATCCTCAGCCAAAGAGCCACATCAGAGCAGACCAGCTCACCAGCCCACCCTGCTGTGCTGCTACAGCCAGGCAGTGAGCCATGGGTTTTTTTGCCCAGTTAACAGGCAATTCACTGAAAGTCAGGTTTTCTCAAGGATCAGTGCCATTTGGATTTGCATTGTATAGGCAAAATGTTTTAAACTAAAACTTTTCATGTCAGTGTTATCTAACAGAAACTTCTTCCATTTTGTTTTGAGTTGATATTTTTAAATTAAAAAAAGGAAGACTCCAAAATAATAATTAAAAAAAATATCTTTTAGAGAACACAGAACACTGTGGGGGTGACAATAAGTGCTTTCCAGAAGCATTCAGAAGCAGGTATTTGCCATTTAATGACAACAGACCATTTTCTTGTTTTCTTTGACCCAAACACTTTTTTCTCCAATGTCTCAGTTTGGCCACCAAAATGGAAGAAGAAAACACCTGTATCTGTCTAGCTTTAGTCACATCTGGGAATTCACAGACAACTACAAAGTGCCTTTTGCTTGAAGATGCTAACTGGACAATATTCCCAGAGAGTAAAGAGCACAGAAAAGGTCTTCATGCAGCCCAGCTCCCTGCTGGCAGACATGCTCTGCACCACCAGGTCACAGATGAAAACAACCTGGAAATGCTCAGCCGTGGAAAACCTTTGCATGGATTTCTCTGTCCTGTTTGCAACTTCACATGTTGGCAAAGAGCTACAGCTGCCATTCCCCAGTTCAGTAGCCTGTTATTATTTAAAGAAACGCAAATTCTGCAGCCATCAGACAGACCACCTAAACCTGAAGTCAACGCCACCTCACGCAGAAGTGATGGAAGGAAGCAGAAGTGCTGCTCTCTTTATGACAACACATAATTTGTGGGTCCAGTGGAACTGAAGGACTAAATTGGTCACTGGTCTAATTAGGTGGTGAGCCCTAAACTTAACTGCTATAATCAGAAAATACTTTGTGTTAGATTTCCTATGAAAACTTCAAAGGTGGATTCACTTGGCTTGGAGAGGACCTGTTGCTTCCTCAGTAAAATAGAGCAGCACTTGCTGTCTTAATGAAACACCCCAAGATATCTCAGTTATATTTTATTTCCACAGGTGTATTTTCTTTCTTGCAAGACCTCAGAGTGATCAGGATCTCCAGACTATGTCAGGGAGACACGAATGGTCTCACCCAAGTCTCTGTGTAAAGGACAGCTAAAACTGACTCTGAGATGGGACCAGATCTCAGTGTGAACCGCTCTGAATTTGGATTAGCTTAGATCCTGTGTCAGAAATGGCTTTTGGCCATTGCCTTCTCTGATGAAATTGCTCCTCCTGCTTAAACATCCCCTCCACTTGCCGTGAACCCCATGTGCACGCTAACCCCACTGTGCCTTGATTCCCAGCACGGTTTGGGAACCTTGGGAATCCTTAGATCAGTTTTCACCAGATGCCTCAGTGACTACAGCATCATGTTCCCTAAAAGCAAGACTCCCCATTGCCAGAAACCCATGGGATAAAACTCCTTCGGGCAGGTGCTGGGGTCACCTCTGCCAGCAGGGACACCTTTGGGTCCCGCAGGACAGCGACGGGTATGGGGGGAGCAACGCGTGTGCATGCACACAAATGCTGTGTGTTCTTACCTTCTCATATTTGCACCCATTGTTAATTAACAGCCATAGAAACTCTGCAAACATTTAAACAGGCTTTAAATAGCCATGAAAACACAACTGCAACGCAAAGCGTGCCCACCTAATTAATGTAATTAAAGTATCAACCTCTGAGCCTGCATGGAGGATCACTGCAGCTCCCCCCCGAGCCCAGACCTGCCCCGTGCATTAAGCAGAGTTTAGCAGTCCTGATGACAGGTTTCACAAGGGATGGCTCAGCAGTGGCAGCAAGCCGAGGTGGTGGGGGCTCTTTGCTTGGTTGGAGAAGCCAGCAGGCACAGCTTAAAAGCAAGGACGCGCCTCCTGCACCCGCTTCCATGTGCTGCCCACCTCCTCTCTCTCCTCCAGATGCTGGCACCTTCCTCCACCTTGCCTGCTCCCTCACCACACGCTGGGGACCACACGCTCCTGTACTCCTCATGAGGGATTCAGGGCTTCTGTCTCAGGGCATCAAAACCCTGAAACCCTGGAAAAAACACCAGGCTAGCTTAGTGTTCAGGTGATCTCTTTTTAAATGGGGATGGCTTATAGTTGCCTCTGATTTCTGCATCAGCACGCTATGTGGAGGACAAGACTCAAGATTTTTCCAGGAAATCCCAGGCAAAGAAATACTCTGTGTTTCTTTTAAAAAAGTCAGACCAGAGGAACACAGAAACAGGACTGGAGAAGCATGCCCAACCTCACACATTGTAAGAAAACGATGTAATGACTACATATGGTTAACCTTGGAATAGATGATATCACCCAGGCTGTCCTTTTTGAAAGCAAAATCAAGGAGTAGAAACAAATACAGTGCTTGATTTGACTATGCCCTTGAGAGAGATTTCTCTGTACTGCCATTGAGCCAGTTACACTAACAGTTGCAATAAAGGCTTTCCCTGATGTTCCCTTATATCAGCCCTCTTCTTTAGTCAGCCAAGACCACTTCATATGAGGTTGCTAAGCATCCCCTAACAAGAAAATCTTGTGTTTGTCACTAACTTGGATTAGGTTTGGTTTTAACTACCGCAAGTGAAATAAATCTGACCCTAGATCTCATTGTTAGTCATCTGGATTATCCAGTTCCCCCCAGATCTGCAGATGATCGATCACCTGAAAACCTGCATAACCTCCAGCAGGCGTATGTAAGGAGAGACTAGAGAGCCATTCCTGTGTCATTATCCCTTTGGAATTAAACAAACCTCCACCAATAACACTTCTGAGAGACCTGTCTCTTTGTTAAGACCTGTGCTATTTTCTTATACGTGTTTATTTTTTTAGTCATCTAAATTCAGACCACAAACTTCTGCCTTTACCCACCCTCTCTTTCCCAATCCCCGGGACAAAGTCCTGCACAGGAGCAGAGCCAGGAGCTCTCCCAGGACTCCGTCCTCCACCTACGACAGATTTACAGTAAAAGCAAATGTCTAACAAAGTCCTGCAGGTCAGCTCTTGTGCTCAGGGATCCCAAATCTGACAAAGCCAAAAAACAGTTCTGAAATATTTTTTCCCAATGCCAGAAGTTCCTGTTTTTTACATGCAATGCTCGGTAACCCCCAAACCTTCATTCCTTACCCTACCTCTCCCAGTGCTTTCTGCTGGCTTGGATTGCCCAGGGGATGGCTCTTTTAGGAGCTGTGTTCAGTCTGAGCTGGTTTAAGGCCTAAGAAATTACAAGATTACCACATTGTATTTCCTGTTTTATTTATTTAATTTTCACTGAGTCATTCGTCTACTACTTTGCAGAGAGAGCTGGGTCTGTTCAGCCTGGAGAAATGAAAGTGAGGGGGGATCTCACTGCTGCCCACAACTGCCTGATGAGGGGGTGCAGAGGAGACAGAGCCAGACTCTCCTCTAAGATGTACTCAGGCACAAGCTGAAACAAGGAAAACTGCAGTCTGTTAAGGGAAAAAAATCACCATGCAGATGGTCAAACAGTGAAACACGGGACCTGACAAACTGTGGGACCTACATCGTTAGAGATATTCAAAGCTCATCTGGGCAAGACCCTGAGCAACCTGATCTAGTTGGCCCTGATGGGTCATTGGAATGTGCTTGGACTACAGACCTCCTGAAGTCCCTTCCTACCCACCTTATTTTGTGTTTCCATGTATTTTGTGATTCTGTAAGGAGCTAAACAATCCCCCACTTTGAGACCTTGTCCTTAAGCCTCCAGATAACGTTCATTCCAGCAGCCGATGGGCTTGCTGATGGAGTGAGCTAATTGATACCACTGACATTGGCATCCGAGCATCTGATTTGGAGCAGAAGGCTGAGAGCAGGGCTGTGTGTGGAGACACACCAGTAGTGCAGAGCTCTCATATCACATGGGCAGGCATCAGTGGCAGTATCAGTCACATCACTTTGGTGGCCCTGTGGTGTCAGTGCCTGCAGAAGAAGCAAGGCTCTAAACTACATGTAAAGACAAAAAAAGGAGGCTCAGCTCTACACTCGGTATCCTGTGTGTATAGGGTAATTAATCACACCAGATATTAGCAATTAAGAATAACTATCATATGTCTCCTGGTAGATAAGTATGCATGCTCTCTGGGTCTCATTATGCCTCCCCTACATTGTGGTAAGTACACTGCCATTAACAGCACTACTTCAGACACAGTCCAAGTCTTCCCGAAGTGACAGGCAAGCAGGTTTTCCATGGGTTTCCATCTTCCTCATGGTAAATCACTTACATCCCTTACTGGAATGGATTTAGCAGCACAAACGTGCCTTACCCCAGGGTCTCTCCCCTTCTCTGTCTTTGCAGCTCAGAGCACTGGATAATCACGGTTGGCTGTGGTAAATGTGCCACTACAAATGTCAGTGCTGGGACCACAAGGATAATCCCATGCCAGTCGAGCTTAATTGGGTAAAAGAGCAACATGCAAAGGGTTATTTCATTACATCCTTAGTTGTTTGTGTGATTAATAATATAAACTGACACCTCATTAGCTTCTGAAGAGGGAGAGGATAGGTGCAGAAGTCTATCTATTAATGGGAGATAAAAAGGAGCAGTATCATTTCAAAAGGCAGCAGTATTTATCACAATGCATTTGAAGTTGAAATATCTGAAATGCATGATGTTGTTCTGTAAAACTACAAATGAGTATTCTTGCAATTGTAAAACACATCAGGGTCTTCGTGCTGCCTTTAATTTGTCAGTTCACCTTCAAGAATTTAATGAACTTGTCTAGGTTACGAAATGTTTTATTCAAGATGAAGGCTGATATCATCATTTAAGATGTAAATCCTAAACTAATAGAAGCTGAAGTTGATAAAATAGCAATTAATTCACATTGAGAGTAACAAAAATTAACAAACTATTGTTCAAATATTTATAGCAGGAAAGTTCTGTTACTTGCTCATTGATACGGTTTTGAAGACTGACTTTGAAAGTACAAAACCTGGCTTTCTGTCAAGCAGAGTGCTCTCCCATATGAAGCTGCCTGGCATTTACTGCATCAGAAACAGCCCCAGTAACAGCAACACCCGCTTCCAGAGGGGACTCTGGGACCATTCATTTCTAAGCTTCCCAATTTTCCTCTTGCTGTTTGCTGTCCTGAAAGTTTAACCTCTTTTTCATTATAAATGGAGATCTGGGATGGGGGGGCTCAAATGATTCACTGAAGAGCTGTAATACTGCAGCTGGGGGGTGCCACACACACTTCACTGCGCTTGGCTGGTCTGATTTAAAAATTTGATATGTCATATATCCAGAGCAGCTTTCTAACCCCAGCAATAGACTTTTTTCTCTCCTGAGCTTTGTAGACTTAGTGAAAAGAAAAAACTGCAAATATAAGCCTAGGAAAAGCTTCATGTTTCTACATGATGAGGATCTGATCTATGTCACATTACATTGCTCAAGGTTAGGCATCAGCAATACGTGTAGCTACCAGGGATGCGAATACATATCAAGAAGACCACACAGAGTGGTAGGGCTAGAAAGGATCCAGTTTCTCTCCATAAGGAAGGTACTGGCATGGACCAAGAGAAACCTTTCTGCACAGAGCAGGTATCCCATTTCAGATCATCAGGCAGCTTGCCAGAATATCTGGACCTGAGACACAAAGCTTGAGCCTGGAAATGGCTCCTTTGGTTACAGAGGCGGGTTGTGAAGCTTCATGGCCTTGTCTCAATCACATAGCAATAGCAAGACATGCTGCATCATTAATGGGAAAGAGAGAGAGAAAAGAGAGGGGAAGGCATCACTCCTGTAACCCTACCCATTAAATCTGCCCCCAGGCAGATGGACCACCAGCCTCAGCTGCTGCATTTATTCTCTTCCTCCATCTGGATTACAGACTGTTCAATTAAGATCTCCAAGGAATTCAAAAAACAGAGGTGTACTTCCAGACCCTTCCATGAATTCTCTGCTGGACCCAGATATCCAAACAAAGAGGAAAAAGAAGGTGTGTGCAAACATTTGCAGGTGGCTGCTCATCAATGCATGCAGTCATTTTCATCCCAGCCAGTTCTCTCAAGCCAAAGTAAAAATTAAAGTTGGCATTTCACTCTGCAGGCAGATGTGTTTCATAATGCATAGGCAGGATATATTTTATTAATTCTGTTTTTTTGTGGATCTCTGTTTGCATAAGTTTCATCCTTCCATGACGCTGCTTGGCTCCATGGGTTGTGTGTTTTTTCCCCTCCTGTGGGATGCTGTTAGAGGCTGATGCAGGGAGCTGAGCAGGTTCCAGAGAGCTCTGCGGGTGGGACAGCAGCAGCAGGGTCCTTGGGACAGAGGCATGGGAGTCCCAGCCTCCCGAATCCACAGTTGAGTGTTGCTCTTCTGGCTGTGTAAGTCTTGTGAGTGCAGAGTCACCTCTACCAAACAGCCAGTTTACAGAGCTCCCTTGATATTCACCTAAAACCTGTTTCGCAGTGTTTTGTATTTTCCTTTAATAAGCTTTTTGGAAGAATCATTTGCTTATAGGATAGAACTGGTGAAGGGGAAGAAAAACAAGCATGGAGATTTCAGTGCTGAGTGCTTCCTCTCTGCGGTGACAGATGTGTGATAAAACCCAGTTTCCTAGGAGGCCACGCTGCTCTCCCAACCCCCCTGCCAAACACATTCATTACGTTCAGGTAGTTGGCAGCACTCATTGTGTGTGTCAAACTTCAAGACATGCAGCTGCTGGAAGCAGAAAAGCAGCTGGGAGGGAATTAACAGCAGTGGGGCCAAGGGGGAATTTGGGCAATGCTCTAGCCCTGTATGACCCCTGTCAGCTGCCCTTTACATCACTGCAATGCAGCACGGGCTCTCACAGCCCTGCGCTGGTAAGGCCAAGGATATTTGCTCACTTCAGCCATCCCAAGCTTGCTCTGATGTGAGTATGCAAATGGAGAATCCCCTCCCATTTCCAGTGAAGCACCAAGCTGTTTTTTCCTGTTATTCTGATTCATTTTTCTAAACAAGGTGCCATAGGCTTTCTGAGCAGCTTCCTCCACTTGGATTTACTGTCAAGGGATGTAGGCATGACCAGTCATAAAACAGAGGTGACCAGCACACAGCCAGCACTGACGGTGAGGCAACCTGGGTTTTATCCTCTTTACCTCCCATGTTAGAGAGTAGGCAACACACGGGCACCATCCCTGCGATGACTGTCCTGCCTGACCTGGGCAGCTCTCCCTCCTGTACCCTTCACTTCCATTCCCACTTATAGCTGGTTGTTGTTGTTGTTTTTATTTTTTCTTCTTCTTCTTCTTTTTTTTTTTCCCCCCTGTAAGGTAAAAACAAAACAAACAAAACAACAACAACAAAACAAACAAAAAAACAAACAACAAAAAAACAAACAAAAAAAACACACAGGGTCTGGAGGCAGGCAAAAGCACAAGTTAATAATGTACAAGTCATTTGGAAACAAGCACAAGACCAGCCACTAATGGTACCAGCTGGGGACCTGCACTTATTTTACATAACGCAGCCCCAGGGCCAAGCTTTTGTGAGCTGGGGCTATGCAGAAGCATAATACAAACAGTTATTTTTGGAGCAGTATTTCTAGGCTGGTCTCAGTGTATGTGTTTAGCATTTTTTTTCCTCTCTCTCCTCCTTTTCCAAAATCTTTTGGGCCATCTTTCAGTATTTCTCTCAGGAAGCATCGCTGAGCACTGTGTTGTTCAGCTTTTTTTTTTTTTCTCCTTGTGAAACTGCACCATTTCACAAGGTCAGCCTAGAAAGCGAGTACAGAAATCTTCATGCTCTTTCTTTAGGGACATGTTACACCAAATAAGAGAGGAAGAATGGTAGGACCTTTAAGAAAGACACTTTCAGTAAGAACACATTGCATTAGAGAACGTGAACAGACTGAAAGTGCCAAAACTGTGCTTGGGGCAATACAGGATTTAGGGAGACAAGATGTCTTTCGGACCCAGAAGATGTTTTCAAGGTCAGCTTTTTAAAGTGTTTCTGAAAGAAACAGGAGGATATTTCTCAGAAGAATACGTCATACTTGAGATCACTGGCATCTTATTTTGGTATGACAAATCAGATCTCTCCACCCCCCTACCTGCTTTGACTAACTTTAATTATCAAATCAGTAAAACATCCTAAGGAGTGGAAGTGGATATCCTCCCTACCCCAGAAAAAAAAAAAAAAAGTCAGAATCTACCTTGAATGTTTTTATTTTGTAACCTACACATCATTGGAAAATATGGAAGAGTACGACAACCTATCCAGTTCACCACAAATCCCCTTTATGGTATTAAAAGATTCAGATCCAAAATATGTGGGTTAAACTAAAAAAAAAAAAAAAAAAAAAAAGGAATATGAGGAATATGAAAAGGCATGATAAATAAAATACAAATATCGATTGAAAGTTCTTGTAGAAATATGTAAATTTTCTCCTACATATATATACACTGTACATAGAGAGATTTGAAAATGAAGTTCCTGAGACTATGCAAAACCTCAATATTTACCACTAGGACAAACTTTTCGGGAAGCATGCTGGATGATCCACAGTGCTGAGGAGCACGATAGCTGCAATACCGCATGTTTAACAGATGTGGTATTCCTGCACTGCTCTTACACACAAAAATGCAGGCAGCCCAGCACTAAGCCAATATTTAAGTCATTGTTGCCAATGACATGAATAAATAAAGTAGATTGATTGCTCTTTCTGGGCTTGTCCTCTGTGATTGTGTGCAGAGAGAACTGCTGAGTAACTCCATATACCTGCCTCTGGAGAAAGGGACTTCCAAGTTTGTGCCTTTTAGTTTTGTGGACACCTCATGGATGTGGCACTTAAGGGACATAGTTTAGTGGTGGACATGGTAGTGTTAGCTTGATACTTGGACTTGGTGATTTTCAGGGTCTTTTCCAACCTAAATTATTCTATTATTCTAAGATTAATTAAGCCTTCAGACAACTTCACACAGTGAACTCAAGGACTACCATGCAGACAGACTTCATCTGTGCAATAAGTAGGGGCACGAAGTAACAACAGGTTACAGCAATCCACATTCTTCCTTGCTACCTTCTCTTTGCCCTTGAAGATGCTTGTAGCACACGGATAGGAAATACAGGTATTTCTCTGCATGTGTTCAGCCCCCTCTATCAATTAAGGTAGGAAAGAGTCCCTCTCTGTCAAAACACAGTTAAATTTTGGCTCCGCACTCTCAAATGCCACTTGCCTGTTTCACTCATGTTGGCATCTCACATTTTAAATGTTGCTGTAATATCCAGGTGGCAGAATCAAGACTAGGCAAAGCAAAACAACATCTTTCACTGTGATGAGCAGCAGACATACTTCTAGCAAAGTGCACATTTTCAAGATGGAAAAGACATTTTCTATGATTTTTTTTTTTTTTAATGCAAGAAGTATTGCTTATGCTAGTATTTTGCATTTAATATTGAAAAGTAAGGCTAACATCAGGCCCCAAACACTTCAGATTGCCAGTGCCAGCTGTCTTCATCCCTTTAGTTAATGAACTTGTGATTAAAAAATTACTGGTAATCAAGTGTTAAGGCCAAGAGGCCATCATCTTACAAGAACAGAAAAAAAATATTGAATAAACAAAAATTCCAAGAAACAGCTCTGATCTAAAAAGGCAAATTACTTAGTATTTCAAGTGTCTAGATAACCTTGACTTGGAAAAAACAAACAAACAAAACAAACAAGACTCTGAGAAAAGGGTGCTCATCAGCCCCCATCACAAAATTATAAAGAAAAAAGTTTTACTTGATCAAAACTCAGCTTTTCTTTTTTTTCCTGCCACAGAGTTTACAGAGTTTTAAAACCAAAACCTTCTTGTTCTGACAAGACCTGTGCTACAAGCAGATTATTCACAGAGACTATTTTGAAGATCCACCCCAACAGGCCACTTGAATTTTATTTTTATGTTTAAATAAGAACTTATCTAGACTGTGTATTGTCCCAATATTCTTCACATAGAATATTTTTAAGTAAACAAAATTTTTATGGAACTGAAAAAAAAAAATATAGTAACAGCAAGCTAAGCTTTGAGTTGGAACATAAACCATAATAGATTTAAACAATAATCAACACAAACAAAGAGCAAGACGTTGGGAATCTAAATTTCTTCTTTGCATCAAATGCTTTTAGTATAAGTTGAATCAGTGCCTTGGCATTTAACCTGCATTTTATTGTTACCTGGTAACAAAGGCAACCAGCCTTTTTTCACCAGGTCCAGGTGCACATGGAGACATCCACTTTTTGCAGACAGATTTTCGCTTGTCCATCAGCCACACACATATACTATTAACATACAGATTTAATTTACTGCAAGCACTACTTGACAGATGCAACAGGAATTAACCAGCACAACAGGACCATTTATGTGGTGTTAAATGAGACTATTTATCAGCATGGAGGGTCCTTAAAACCTTTCTGACTGTTTTTCCTAATCTTGTTAAACTCCTTTCACTTGTGACAGCTCAGATGTGCCTGAGGTGTGCTAACAGAGCTGTCTGGTGCTTTACACCAGCTGGGGAGCAGGGTTCAGATTATTCTGAAAAGAAAAAGAACAACCCCATTCTTTGGGGTTGCAAGGGGAGTTCCATTTCCTGGCTAATATATTCTACTTGATTTATGGAAACTAAACAAAGCACATTCAGTCATTGTTGGCAATCAAATGATTGTGAACGTTAGGACCACGTAAGCAATAGCACCTTCATACCCTCGCTCTGCCTTTGAGCAGTGTTCCCAGCTGGGAAGCTGCTGGGATGGAGGATGGCCTCCTCAGCCCACTCACTCTTATTTTCTGATGGCAGCAATTGCATCCAGTCAGCTTCATGCTCAATTTGGCATTATTTAAATAACTACAAGAGAAATGAAATGCTTGGATATACATGTTTTCATGCACTCGTTTGCTAATACACCATACAGACCTGGCTGCTGCAAACAAAAGGCAGATCTAAGAGGCAAGTATTTATTACAGAAGTTCAAGCTCCAGGATCTTGTTTCCTTATTTCTATTCTTTCTTTAATTACTTTATTTCAGTTTATCAAACAGCCAAGTTGTAGAAAAACAATGCCTACAGAGAAAAGAGTTTCTGATTCTCTCCAAAAAACTATGGACTTCTCAACACTCACCCTGTAAAGTGGAGGAGAAAGTTGAACTTATCTAATAATTGCAAACATAAATAATGAGTTACAAACCTAAGTGGGGATTTCTGCAGAAGCAGTTACTCTACATTCCCAGGCAATTCCAGATTTAAAGAGCATCTACACATAAAACCATCTTGGGATGGGGCCCGTCTGTGTGTGTTCTTCAGTTTCTATCTGTTGTTTCCCAAGGAACCCCAGATTAGTATTTGGTGCAGTTTTTGGAGAATTAAAGCCTCCTGCAGAGAAGTTACAATGTTCAGTTCAGAAAAACAGATTTCTGCTTGCCTGAAATTTCCATTTTCCTTTGAGAAATGCAGCATGCAGGTCTTTTACAGCAGGTACATATGTTAGTGAGGAGAGTGACCAAACCTTGTCAATATGGGTCAGATGAGAATGTCTTTTGCCCTTGCAATTCTTCTTGGCATCATGGCTTTTGGAGACAAAGAAATGCAAAACCATCTAACACTGAGGCATTGTGCTAAAAGTATTTTAAAGAAATATGTAAGAACTTGTCCTGTTAGAGCCTTTATCATTGAAAAATGCAAACTTTCTGGTATCACACATACATGTAATGTGTCCTAATTTAATACCTACCACCTCATTCAAAGGAGGGTGTGTTTTTATACCTACAAAGCCACGGGCAGCATCAAAGTTAAGTCAAGCCCTACATCTCCCCACCACCCTAGAAGCATTTACTGGTGTGTGAGGATCCAACTGAGGGCAAGGACTTCTCCATGATCCTTACAGGACAACAGTTTCCAATATTAGGATGTGAAGAACAGAGCCTAGAAAACAGGGGAGGACAAAGGACAGGCAGTGAGAGTCTCCTACAGGACACATGGCATGCAGAAAAACCCGACAAAAAGAAGCCTGTGGGCTGAGAGTATGTTTAATCCTCAATGTCACAGATAGTCTTCCAACAGCTAAAATAAGAAACTATTAGCAAAACTGCCAGAATTAGAAAAGGGAATGAAGCAGGGAGTGCGGCATGGCTCGCAGGAACAGCTCGTAGGTGGAAATGCAGCTTGTGAGTGAGGAGCAGTGAAGAAACACTTCGCTTTGGTGTCCAGCCTCAACAGGGCCTTGTTATCCTGAGCAACTTAGCTCTAGCAAGCTGGAAGTGAAGGGCACTGTAGGAGAGCAAAAGCCAGCAACCAACCCTCTGGAAGAGGAAATGACAGACCAGTTTGCTCTGATTTAGGTGCTAGAGAATGTTACCCTTTTCATCTGCCTATTGGGTTATTTTTCCCTTTAATAGAAATGGTTATATTAAGTCCTGTGGTTCTTTTTTTTTTTCCTTTTTTTTTTAATTATTTTTTTTTTTTTTTTTTTGCAAAAGGGGTAAACTAATTCCATGTGTACCAGAAAATTAGATACACTTCTGCCAGGATTCTGGGTGGGTGCACTGGAACCCACTCATTGACACGGGTCCTTATGATCCTAAAGAAATGAGTCCTAAAGAAAAACCTCACAAGGACCATCCACAGCTCCACCTTGTCGTTGGCTTCCCCACCAGGCTGGGTCTGTGTTTCTTTGGGGAACCTCATCACTGTGTGTTCACCTCATTGTTTGGTTTCATCTGAAATACTGCACAAGAAGAAATACATGCATTTCCCACTGTACAGTCAGAAGCATTGCTCCCAAAGCCCTGGGAAAGGATATTCAGGGTAGATGTGATATCCAAGTGTAAAGGCAGACTTTGGAATTGTATTTTTTCCCCATTCATCTACAAATGGAAGAACTGCCCGAGACAGTAAAATGGGAACTTTTTGTCATTGTCAGACAACCTGCTCTGGGATTCTCTTTGGCTCCTGAGGGCTCCAAGGCTGCAACTCCAAATCGTTGGCAGACAATTTCATCCTCCTTAAGCATTTTGAGGTTACTCAGACCCAGAATGTGAGAAGCTGTTTGCATGAATCTGAAAGATAGTCCTGACCCCTTGCACATACCAAGTAGTCAAGGCTTTGGATAATTTTCACTCCCACACTATGATATTAGAAGGCAGTGACTGAACAGCTATTGCTCTTAGAAATGACAAAGCTGGGAGCAACCAACTCAGCTGGTAGGATATGGCATCCCATAGCAATAGCTTGTCCTTATTGGGTAGAGGTAGATCTCTTTCTTCAACCACGCAGCCTCAAGGACCACTACGAGGGTTAGAGTACAAGCCCATCATTTCTGCTAGCCTGCTCTCCTGCATCCATCACTGCTGTGATGTTACAGCCCATGGAGGGCACCAAAGCTTTCCAGAAAGGGAGCTCACACCCTCAGGGTCATGTTCTTCAAGGCCTTAATTGCCTGATGAGGAAGTCTGCTGTCCAGAGGAATGGGGAGGTGACTAGGCTCTTAGCACAGGGCTGCCTCCAAAAATGGCACTGACTGTTTTATTTTGTTCTTCTTTGAGAAGGAGTACCCAAATCCGACTAAAGAAGGGCTTTGAAAGACAGCTCCAGAAAGACAGCTCCCTGCTCTGCACAACCAGTTTTACTGTCTCTCCTCTCTAGCAGCAGCACTTCTTCCATCCCACAGGTAGGCGTTAACTAGATAATCAGGACATGGCTCCCTACATGAGGATTTCCTAACCACAGAAAAACTGTTGGGATTTCCCTGCAGACAGGCAGTGTGCAGAAAAGTCAGGCAGAGACCCCCACCCCTGAGGAAGCTGAAGACAGTAAAGGTAATGCCGGGGCAGAGGTGGGATGTACCCCAGCTTTTATTAGCTCCACCAAACTGCTTTGGCCACAGGCTGCAAGCAAAGAAAAGCACTTTTTGCCAAAGGATTACTTGAAAAAAAATAATTCCCATGACAATATGAAGGGACAAGAGAGGAAAACCTCATTTTAATGGAGAAAGGTGAAAAAAAATATAGGATAGTATGATCAGAAAGTCCCTATTCAAACACAAATACCTCTTTCAGGAAGAGAAAAGAGTGGCAAACTCAGCAATTGCTTCTCCACTGCTGCACAGTCATTCACATTGTGAGCCTGAGCACCTCCTTTGCAGAAACATGATTAGACCATATATCCACAAGCGTAAAGCACTGGAATGAATGAGGATCCTATGGCAAGTGCATGGAACGATTCATTCCTCCCACAAAAGTGACAAATAAGGATAATCCTACCTCATTTCTGAGATGACTTTTTGGCCTGGCTGCAATAAAACTGTAACAACTGTAATAGCATGTACACACAAATTATCTTTTGTGGAATTATGAATTAGGCATTTCAGTGCATATATCTGCTTGGGTTTTATTTTAGGGCACTGCATGCAATATACAACTACCAGCCATTTGCAAGACAGCACACACAAGCCACGTAAGAGCAACCACATTTTCCAGAGCAATTGACTCAGTGGGAAAAGGGACTTGGACCGCAACTCAGCCTTTATTGATAGTAACTTCAATCCTTCTGCCCTAGGAAAGATTTGTGATAAGGTTAAAGATACCTCAGACTGTTCTTACCTTCTCTTCACATAAATTTACAACCCCAAGGACACCTGTTAAGACTAGTGGAGATAAGAAAGGATAGTCATATTTCCTTATCTGGAGCTCTCTTGTTTATAGCACTTCAGTTTACAGTATAGAAGTGGTTATATTCCCTGAGAAAAGGTCCCTGTGAACTTCATGAGCAGCTTTCTAAACATTCAGTAGCCTCTTGAGTATATAGTATATGTGATTCATGATTAAAAAAAAATAAAATAAAAAGGGCTCCTACCTGTCAGGAACACAGATACAGATTGAAAAGACTCAAGAGACTTTCCACCTTCCCCTAAAGAGAAGTCTTCCCATTGGATATAAGCACTCAAGCTTGTTTTGATCTTGGATACTACCAAACCCCACAGCACCCATCCAGGCTCTGGTGCAGGCTTCCACATGGGAATGCAGAGCATTAAGAGCTTGGCTGTGATTTAGCATGAGCTAGAGAATGGCAAGTCAACAAGTCCTGCCGAGCCTGTCACTGTGTAATGGAATTAAGGTAATAGGAGGCAACAACCACGCAGCACATAAAGCCAGTATGAATTCCTCCAGGGAGCTACATAAGCTGCCACCTCTTTGCACAGATTTTTTCAATGACGCCTATTTGCATGGCTGTTTGATGCTGTGCTTAATACATTGTTCTGAACAGAGGTTAGCCTTTCTTTCATTATAACTATACCACTGATTATAAAAGTATTGTATAAATTCTTACAATTTATGCAACAATTTACAACAATCCAGTCTATCCCTTAGCTT